CTGGTCAGAACTGTGTCTTGCCCCAGGTCACCCCAGCAGCTGCAAGTGGAGGAGTGGGGAATCAAACCTGGTTCTCCCAGATTAGAGTCCGCGCACTTTACCACTGCACCAAACTGGCTTTCTGGAAATATGGGCAAAAGATGGTTATATAAAATTAAAACCAGCAAATGGACAGTCAATCTAATCAGGGGCCCCTCAAACCTGCTGTTTGTATTTTTGTCCCGTTGTTTTCCCTAAGTTGCTCAGTGCAGCGCATGTTGTTCTCTCCTCCCTATTCTCACCCAAACCCATCCGCTCTTTTCAAGCCACCTATCTTTGCCAAAACTTGGTGTTCTGGTGTGGTGGTTAAGAGCGGCAGACTCTAATCTGGAGAATGGGGCTTGATTCCCCACTCCTCCACATGCAGCCAGCTGGGTGACCTTGGGTCAGTCAAAGCTCTCTCAGAGCTGTTCTCTCAAGAGCAGTTCTCGAGAGACTTCTCAGACCCACTTCCCTCACAGGGTGTCTGTTGTGGAGAGGGGAAGGGAAATGAGATTGTAAGATGCTCTGAGACTGCGAGTGAAAGGCAAGGTATAAATCCAATCCCCTACTCCTCCTCTTCTTCCTCTTCTCCCTTTACTAGTCAAGGCTAGTAGCCATTACTGGACCCCTCCTCCTCCCCCATGCATCTGTCTAGCCCTCTTTTTAAACCTTCTCTGCTCACGGTCATCACTCCAGCAATGCTCCCTCCAAGCTGTGGAGTCTTGTGAGCAGAAATTCTACTTTGTGAGCTACCAGCATTGAAGTTGTGAGTGAGCCATTTGGCTGCTGCATCAGTGAGTTTGCTCCGGAGCCTGTCCTTCCTGAGCCAAGGCTAAAATGTGTGAGCCAGAGGCCGAAAAACTGCGAGCTAGCTCACACTAGCTTGCTTCAGAGGGAACACTGCTGGCAAACGAGTGCCACAGTTGTATTGCTCTTTGTGTAAAGCAAGCGTTCCCTTTTGGTCTGCCCTGTGCCTGCTGCCCATCAACTTTTTTGTGATCTAGGATTATGCGAACGGGGGGGGGGGGGGGAAAGGGGGGGGGAGGGGGACGGCGACACACAATTCCAAGCAGCACCTGGCAAAAGCCACGTAATTAACGGCAACACCCCCTCTCCAAACGGTTTCAGTGCGGCAACCTCCCATTCCGGAGGATATGCAAGCGGTTCGGAGCCGACGTCACCTGCGGAGAGATGGCGGTGTGCACCAACCTGCTCCAGGGGCAGTCGTCGGAGTGGGCGTTGCTGAAGCGGCACCACACGGAGGACCTCTTTGGTGTGCAGGTGACTTGAGACCCGCGGGAGGAAGGGAGGGAGAAGAGTGTCAGACTCGGGCTGATTCTGTATTGTGGCCTTCCAATATTGTATACCTGTCCCCACCTGATTCCTATAGCTGCAACGTATCCCCTTTCCCATGTTCCCAGCTTGGGTAGTGCTGTCCTGATCTCACCCCTCGCCTGACAATGCATTCCTACGGGGAGGGGAGCGTGAGTGTGCATGTAGGAGTAGGCTGGCTTGCAGATGTAACCTTCTATGAAGCCCTCGAGAGACTCTTTCTCACGGGAAGGTGTCCTTGGGAGAAAACAACCTTGATAGCTAGAGGTGGACCCAACTGTCTATGGTCCATGTAGAGCTGCTGACGTGTGCGGATGGAATGTGTGATTGTAACCAGGGGTCATTTCCTGTGGGAGCGCACAGGAGTGGAGCTCGGGCAGTAAGGAGCCCAGGGGGCGGGCACATGCAACAAGCCAACCCCCTGCTCCCAGCAACCCTCAGTTAGGCCACGAGGAGCAAGAAGCAGCCAGGTAAATTGCAGAGCCCCCCCCGAGTTGAGGGCTCATTTGGTCACGCCTTTACTTAAAGATGGAGAATTGCTAAATTAGCCAGGCGTCATGGCTACTACCGGATAGAAATGATCATGTCACCCTCTCAGTGGCAAAATTCATAGCCACAATAATCAAATATAAGAGAAATAATACTGAGTAAGGTCTTTTTAAATTATTTTTTGGTTCTAGGTTCTGCTTAAGGTGATAGCCGTATGAGCAGTACTAGATAGATAGGTAGATACTTAGGTTGTTTATAGTCCACCTTTCTCTGGGATGTACAGCTTTGTACTGCGGGTGTCTGTCTAGTACAGGGGTGTCGAACTCATTTGTTATGAGGGCCGGATCTGACACAAATGAGACCTTGCTGGGCCGGGTCATGGGTGTCGTAAAATGTAATGCCAGGTAGCAGAGACATAAACTTTATAAAGGGAAGAGTGATTTGACTGGGAACCTGACACAGAGTTTGGACCGACGGTCCTCCTCGTCCGGCGTCATGGATCTTTCTGTGGCGAAGACTGAGAGCCTTTTGCTTAGCGCCCTTCAGTACCCACTCCTGCATGTAAAGTGAGTCTTCCAGGGGATTTATTTTACTTTTATTTATTTACTTGGGATTTGTATCCCGCCCTACCCAAGCGGCCCAGGTCGGCGAAGAGCGGCAATGCCGGATTAAAATATAGAATGCATTAAAACATTAGTACATACAGGGCCGCATGTTTGAAATTCTTGGTCTAGTATGTTTTTTTCCCATGCTTCCACGAAGGAAACGAGGTGGTGTACCCGGTTCCCCCGTTTTATCCTCACAACAACCTTGTGTAGTGGGTTAGGGTGAGAGGGAGAGTGTGGCTGGGCCAGGGTCACCCAGGAGGTTTTGTAGCACGGTGGGGATCTGAACCCATCTCTTTACAGCCAGAATCTAACACTCTAATCCAGGGGCCCCCACTGTGGTTCCAGCTGCCTCCTGAGTCCAGTGCTCCCGCTAAGCTGTGGAGTCTTGTGAGCAAAAATTCTACTTTGTGAGCTGCTGGCATTAAAGGTGTGAGTGAGGGATTTGGCTGCTGCATCAGTTAGTTTGCTCTGGAGCCCTCCTTCCTGAGCTAAGACTGAAATGTGTGAGCCGGAGGCTAAAAAACCGTGAGCTAGCTCACACTCAGCTTAGAGGGAACACTGCTCTCAACACCTTTTCTGGTGCCCTCTGGATGTTTTTAGAAAGTGGGTCACCTTTCAGTGACAGCACGAGAGCCCCTTTGTTCAGACTAGGGGGTTGCTTCACCTCTTACCTGGCTGATTGATTCAGAGTTTTGCCCCACGAGATTTCTATTTGGCCACTGGAGATTCGATTGGCTGTTCAGGTTTTTAAAAGTGTTGCTTTTACAGCAGCTGTCACCACAGCAGGAGGCTCTTCACTGGGACAGCCATTTTGTGGCTAGCTCCACCTCCTGTGGCAGCCATTTTGTGGCCAGCTCCACCTCAGGCGGCAGCCATTTTGTGGCCAGCTCCGCCTCCCGCGGCAGCCATTTTGTGGCTAGCTCCGCCTCCCGCGGCAGCCATTTTGTGGCTAGCTCCGCCTCCCGCGGCAGCCCTTTTGTGGTTGCGCCTACCACACTGTGTCAGATTTCCAAAGGTGCCCACAGGCTCAAAAGGGCTGGGGACTCCCGTTCTAATCGGTGTCCTATACTTGCTGTCCATGGAAGGACTCCAAAGACCTTGTAGATGGAAAACTAGCATGTCTGGATAATGCTTCATTTAGTGCCTTCCCCCATGATGATCCTGGTTTCCAGATGGGGGTAGCTTGATGGCTCCCAAAACAGAACAACGCCCTGCACATAGAAAGGTAACTTGTCAGGAAGGAAGTTTCTCCCTGACATTCTAGGTTTCTGCAGGAGTTTGAAGGGTAACAGGCCCCACACATGGAGGAAAAAAACTATACTGTGAGGGCTGTGTTCCATTTCATGTATTGGGGCAGAGAAAAAGTTCTTCTTGGACTTGATAGCTGGAGTGGGGGGGGAGTGCATTTGATTTTTCACCCCAGTTTTTCACCCCATTCTTGACAGGGGGGAGGCTGTGCCTTAATGAGCCGCACCAACAAGTTTGAACAGATTGTCCGAGGCATGAACACGGTAAGTGAGAGCCCTCCTCGGCCGGGCTCCAACCTTCAGTAGTTTTGTCGTCTGTTCTGTAACCCCCTCCTTCCGGTGGGGGGGGGCGCCTTTGTTCAGACTGGGGGGGGGTGTTGCTTCACCTCTTATGTGACTTAATGATTCAGACTGACGAATGTCTGGAAGCTGACAAGACTCTGCAGTAGATGTTTAAGGATCCCTGTAAACTAAGAGGGTCAAGCTAACAAATAAATTGTTCTAAAAATACAAATATTTATTATGGTGTCCGCATAAATAAAACATACATAAGGTTAAAAGAAATAGTCCAAATATCCGACTCTTAAAGCTTAGTATATTCAGAGCTGATAGTTCTACATGTACAATTGATGGGTAAAACCTTTGACCTAAGGACTATATGCGTTTCGGCCCCTTCGGGCCTTCCTCAGTGGTCAGTATTACTATAGTACACTAACACACATCCAGAAATGAATATATAAAGAATTTTTCTATAGAGCCAGGTGTTGCTTTCTAAAATTTGCATTCCTGGATGAAGCAGGCCTGGTGGCAGCCTACTGTGGTCTAGGGGAAAGAGGAACTGGACTCCTGTTTTTGTTAATATTAGTCAGAGTGCTCTGCCTGTCAGGGCTCCGGCCCAACCTCCCGCTGAGTTGGCACGGGATTCTGGTGATAATTGCCAGGCAGGTGCACTACATCAAGTTTGATCGCCGTGTCTGTCTGTCTGTAGCAGTAGAAAAGTCTAGCAGCCCCTCAAAGACTAGCAGGGGATGAGCTTTCCTGACTCAGTGCTCACTTCTTCAGACACCTTGTTTCACGCAGATCCTTTAACCCAAGGCTGACTCAAGATAGTATGTCCTGGCCCCCCTGGTGGACCTCCTGATGGCACCTGGTATTTTTGGCCACTGTGCGACAGAGTATTGGATTGGATGGGCCATTGGCCTGATTTGCTTCTCTTTATGTTCTTATGAGGAGCTGCGGTGGCTCAAGTGGTTAAGACGCTGAACTGCAGGCTGTGGAAGGCCGGTAGTTCAGCAGTTCAAGACCCGAGTTGGCACATGACGGAGTGAGCTCCCGTCTCTGGTTCCAGCTCCTGCCAACCTAGCAGTTCGAAAGCAAGAAATTGCAAGTAGATAAATAGGTACCGCTTCGGTGGGAAGGTAACAGCGTTCCGTGCACCTTGGTGTTTAGTCATGCCGGCCACATGACCACGGGAACGTCTTCGGACAGCGCTGGCTCTTCGGCTTTGAAACAGAGATGAGCACCACAACTCTAGAGTCGGATTCGACTGGCTTTCGAGCAAGGGAACCTTTACCTTTATGTTCTTATGATAGTACAGACAGTATGTACCGATAGTGCAGATAGAATGTTAACAAAACCTGTGCTAAAATCAGAAGCTGCTCTAAAAAATCCAACGTTCTGAAGAAATAAGAGAAGAAAATAGGAGTTGTAATTAAGTCGCCAAGAAAAGTTGTTGTTTTTTAAAAAATTGAAAATCGGTCATTCAAGAGCTGTGAACAAATGAACATGTTGTGCTGAAAACGATTGCCGCTCTTGTGCAAGATTCAAGTCCGTGGTCCAGTCGACACGCGTATATTATATTTTATGCCAAAGTGTTGCAGAGCTCGTATTTCCAAGCCAGTTGATTTGGTGTCTTTTATTCAGTTGGTATCAGTGTTCCCTCTAAGCTGAGTTAGTGTGAGCTAGCTCACAGTTTTTTAGCCTCCAGCTCACAGATTTTTGTCTTAGCTCAGGAAGGACGGCTCCCGAGCAAACTGATTTATGCAAGTCCCCAAATCGCTCGCTCAGAACTTTAAGGCCCGTAGCTCACAAAGTAGAATTTTTGCTCACAAGACTCACCCCCCCCCCAATGATGTCTCCTTTGCAAGGGCGGCAGCCCAGTTCCAATAAAACGCTGTGCGAGTATGAAGGCCTCACTGGGGAGTTCTCTCACCTTGCCAGTGTCATGTTTAAAGTCGTCTTCTTTAAAAAGAGCTCTTGGCGTTCAGAGGCACCGAGTCCTGCCAAGCACAGTGCGAGTTCCCAAACACCTCTGTCTTCCCTTTCTTTGCTAGGTCTTGGACGTCCCCCTGACCGTGAAGATCCGGACCGGAGTCCAGGAGAAAGTCAACCTGGCTCACAAAATCATCCCCAACCTCTGGGAGTGGGGGGCCTCTTTGGTCACGGTAAGTGGTGCCCCCCCCCCCCCGGTTTCCCGGTGCACTGTGGGTAGACTTCTACTCTGGGCCAAGTTATGGGGGGGGACGACGACTTTGGTTTAATAAACCCGGCTGTACCAGGAATTCCATCCTTTCTCAACTAGAGGAGACAGTTTGAAACTCATGAATATTTGTAGCACATCTTTTCCCAGGGTTCCTCTAACCACTAGAAAGACCCGCTGCACTCTCTCCAGCCCCTCTGTTTGTGGTGTGTGAGTTTCCCCTTTGCCAGAGTTCCATGGCCCTGTTTTTTCATTATAACAAGGCCCTGCACACATTCCCCTGATAGATTCGTGGTGGATAGGCCTATCTGTGGCTTCTAGCCATGGTGACTAAAGGGAACCTCCACATTCAGAGGCACTGAACCTCTAAATCCCAGTGACAGGAGGCCTCCATGCCCTGTTGTTGGCCACTGTGTGAGACAGAATGCTGGACTAGTTGGACCAATGGTCTGATCCAGCAGGGCACTTCTTCTGTTCTTATAACCAGGGGTCATTTCCTGCGGGAGCGCACAGGAGCGGAGCTCCAGCAGTAAGGAGCCCAGGGGCGGGGACATGCAACAAGCCCCACCCCCTGCTCCCAGCAGCCCTCAGTTGGGCCACGAGGAGCAAGAAGCAGCCAGGTAAGTTGCAGAGCCGCCGCCCCCCCGGCCCGCCTTCAGGTGCAAGCTCTCCCTCCTCTGCGAGGGCAGATCTGCACCCCCAATAGCTGGCTATCCAAAACAGTCCAGTGGAGCCTGAGCGGTGGGTGTTGCCTTCTGACACACTTCCGGTGATGTCAGGGGGTGTGGTGCATGCAAATGAGCTATGCTAATGAGCTCCTGCACCTCTTTTTCTACGAAATGACCCCTGCGTATAACCATAGTGAAGGCCCACTCATGGTATAAAAGTGGGGGTTGAATTTGCCCGAGAGGAGGTGGTTAGGAGAGGTCTGCAGCCTGGGATATATATGTATAAAGGGATATAGGGCATTCGTACGCGCACACACCCACTCATAGGCCAATCGGCCTGACTCCCGCGTGCGGGAGAATGGGGCCCCAGGCCGTTACAGCCGAAGCTGGGAATCGAAACCTATCCCACAGGTAATACATGGAGAGACGCTACATAGACAGCTAGCTAGCAAGGTCATAGATAAGAAGGACAAAGGAATGTGGCATCAGTTGGTACACAGGTCAAGCAGCTGCACTCTCGCCCATAAAGATGGCAGCATAGCTGACAGATCCAGCCCATGGTCTCTTACTCGGGGTTGGCCATCCAGAAGCATTCCATACGTACTGATCCCAGAAGACTGCTTTTCTAATTGGGAGCAGCGGAGGATTCTGGGATCTGCCAGCATGGCTGTGGTGGAGATGATTGTCCTTGTGTGTGTAACGGGGGAGGGAGGGCAGATGCTCAAGCACATCACGAGTGGGACATGTCCTCTGCTCTCTCGATCTCTCTCTGTAACCTACAAAGCTTCTCATTGTTCACGAGAATGCATTTTGTTGGGGTGAGGTGCAGCAGATCCGTTCCTCTAGCAGTGGTTCTTTCCTTTGGCGCCAGGACCCTTCTGGGCTAGTGGAGTGGATCCATGGAATCCAACCCTGTGTGTCCCCATGAGCCTTGAGTGGAAGTCAGCCTTGGGTTAAAGGATTTGTGTGATGAAAATCATGCTTGTTTGCTGTGAACATAAGAACATAAGAGACGTCAATGTTGGATCAGGCCAAAGGCCCATCCAGTTCAACACTCTGTGTCATACAGTGGCCAGAAATACCAGGTGCCATCAGGAGGTCCACCAGTGGGGCCAGGACATGAGAAGCCCTCCCACTGTTGCCCCCCACCCCCAAGCACCAAGAAGACAGAGCATCACTTGCCCCAGAGCCCCTATCTATACCTTGTTGCTAATAGCCACTGATGGACCTCCGCTCCATATGCTTATCTAATTCCCTTTTGAAGGTGTCCATGCTTGTAGCTGCCACCACTTCCTGTGTTGGCAGAGCCGTAAGAATATAAGAGAAGCCAATATTCTGTTGGGCTTCTCTCTCTGTCTCTGTTAGCCCAAACACCACTCGCTTTGCTGTAGGGGGATCTTTTCCTATCTCCCTGCGTGTATAACGGATTTTGTCTTTTAACACAAGGAAGAGTCAGACACAATCTCTATAATTAAAGAGTTTTATTTTAAACATGGCATCAATCAACAGTTTAAACAGTTTAGGCTTTGATCAATAGTCCTATACAGTTTGATAATCTCAGCATATTACAGTTCAATTAGCAGTTAGTCCTTGCCTATTACAATCTGGTTCTAAAAGTAAAGGCATAGTTTCTTACCCCTGGTGTTAGCTTCAGGTGGAGCTGTTCCTGTCTCCCTGTGTCCCTCTGGATGGTTCTCTCTGGATGAAGACTGACTGTAGACTACCAGCTATGCACCTTTATCCTGTTTCCATTCCTTCTCCACCCCCTTCTCAACCAATCAGAAATATCTGACATCAGGGGTGTTCTCGATCAATTAGTAACTGCTACTCCCTCTTCTCAACCAATCAGAAATATCTGACATCAGGGGTGTTTTCGATCAATCAATTAATAACTAAGGCCTTCCCATGTGACAGTATCCTCCCCTTTGTGTCAGGTCGTCCTAATTGTCCAAACATTCTATTTACTTTCAAATATAGTTTTCCCGTCATTCATATTTGTTCTAGATGATCATTGACAGAATTCCCAAAAGTCCCCTCTATCTTGTCCCCATTTATCCAGGTCTCCAGACGTTTATCCAGATAATCTTAAATCTGCCCGTGCTTGTAGCAGCCACGACCTCCTGCGGCAGTGAATTCCACATGTTAATTACGTTTTGGCAATTAATCTCTGGTAATTTGCTAATTATGGGGCTGCAGTGGCTCAAGTGGTTAAGCCGCTCGAGACCCGAGTGCCACGTGATGGAGTGAGCTGCCCTCTCTAGTCCCAGCTCCTGCCAACCTAGCAGTTCGAAAGCAAGAAACTGCAAGTAGGTAAATAGGTACCGCCTTGGCAGGAAGGTAACATCGTTTCGTACGCCTCAGCGTCTAGTCATGCCGGCCACGTGACCACGGAAACGTCTTCGGACAGCGCTGAATCTTCGGCGTGGAAACGGAGATGAGCACTTCATCCCTCGAGTCAGGATTCAACTGGCTTTCAAGCAAGGGAAACCTTTACCTTTACGGGTCATTTAATAGAAGAAGAGGTGCAGGGGCTCATTAACATAACTCATTAGCATAACTTATTTGCATATGCCACACACCCCGACATCACCAGAAGTGTGTCAGAAGGCAACACCCACCGCTCAGGCTCCACTGGACTCTTGGATTGCTAGCTATTGAGGGGGGGGAGTGCAGATCTGTCCTCGCTGAGGAGGGAGAGCTTGTACCTGAATAAAACCTGGTCTTAAAGGTGCCACTGGACTGTTTTGGGCTGGGGGGGGGAGGCTCTGCAGCTTACCTGGCTGCTTCTTGCTCTGCCTGAGGGCTGCTGGGAGCAGAGGGTGGGGCTTGTTGCATGTGCCCACCCCCTGGGCCCTTTACTGCCGGAGCTCCGCTCCTGTTCGCTCCTGCAGGAAATGACCCCTGCCTTTACCTAATTTGCTAATTACACCCCGTCAGATGAGACCAACAGTCCTGCTAGGGCAGCATCCTGTTTCCAGCAGCCGCCAAGGGAGAGGCCTTGGAAGTCCCACATGCCAGTGGTGCCTCCTTTAAGTGTGATGGGCGGCAGCCGCTGCTGGACCCATCCTTGTTGGAGGCAGTGAGGACGGGGTCCCCTGCCCTGCCCTGGACGGCCCAGGCTAGCCCAGGGTTGTTACGCAGAGGCATGAAGTGCGGGTCACTGTGCGGGGTCACCATAAGCTGAGACGTTGACAGCACTTCCCACCACCATCTGGTCCAGCACCCTGGTTCTCGTCAGGGACCAGTCATAGGATCACAGAGTCGGAAAGGGCCAGACGGGCCACCCAGTCCAAATCCCCCGCTCAATGCAGGGTCAGCCTAGAGCAGTGGTGGCGAACCTATGGCACGGGTGCCAGAGGTGGCACTCAGAGCCCTCTCTGTGGGCACGCGTGCCATCGCCCCAGCCAGGCCCAGACCATCATTAAAGTGTCGAATTCTCTGCCAAATAATATTAAGTAAATGAAAGCATTTGGGATTGCTTTCCTTACTTTGTTTGGATCATCTTAAGTTAATGTATGAGTTGTTTTTTCTAAAGTAAAACCTCAGTATTCAGGTTCAATTGCCGTGTTGGCACTTTGCAATAAATAAGGGGGTTTTGGGTCGCAGTTTGGGCACTCGGCCTCTAAAAGGTTCGCCATCACTGGCCTAGAGCATCCCCGACAAGTGTTTGTCCCGCTGCTGCTTGAGGACTGCCAGATGGGGGGAGCTCACCACCTCCCTGGGCAGCTGATTCCCCTGTCGCACAACTCTTCCTGTAAATTTCCCCACGTAATATCCCTTCATAAGAACATAAGAGAAGCCAATGTTGGATCAGGCCAATGGCCCATCCAGTCCAACACTCT